GCATCGTAGGCCGAGGCTGAAGGACGAACAAAATCACGACCAAAGGAATTAGAGTCAAATCACCACGTGACAGCAGGGACCCACGCTTCATTTAATGAAGTAACGTCTCTGACTAGCAAAACCACTAGCTGCAAAGAGGCATTTAATGCACGAGGGAAGAAGGGAAGTGACTAACGTCAGGATTTGGCGACAGGAATCAGAGTGGTTAAGTGCAGACATTCTTACAAATTCTTACAGCTTGAGAGATTAGGTGACTAGCTATCAGGGCAATAAATGCGTCCCCACGGCTAGAAGAGCAGAACCCACGATCAGAGCGGCGGCCGAGATTTACCAGGATTTATGGGGTCACACCACCATGCTTCACGATCCCAAATGTCGATTGGACTACCCACTTGTTCTAATCAGGCTCCACCATGCAGATTTTCAGCCTCGATTACTCCTCCAGGAACTCTTCCTATAAATACAAGGCTCAAGCTACATTCAAAATGTTCAAACACCAAACCAAAGCCTCCCACGGAGCAAATTATATTTTCCTGTAATGCACTTTCAATATTTTTACTTGCTTTCCAAGGAGTAATGTTAGATTGTAAGGAAAATCCGTTCATCAATATATCATACGACCCTTGATTTTCAAGGCACCGGAGCACCATCTCTGTTATTCCCTCACTCACCCCATATATCAGACGACCGTCGCTCACTGAGCAACGCGCCGGAGCACCGCCCAAAACCCATCATCAACACTACCACTAAACGGCCTTGTAACTCAGGCCGTGAACCTTACGGTCGAGATCAGTTCCTCTCTCGGCCACAATCGTTTGATTAGGAGTCGAACTCAAACAGGCGAACCACTTAACCATCTCATCCACATCATCATCTCGACGCACGGTAGACCGTGCTGGCACGCCCGCGCACAACCGCACCGCACCCAAAAGAAGGAAGCCACGTGTTAACGCACATCCCTCGGCTCGGAACACCAGGCCGTGAGATTTGCGCAGCCAACAGAGTGTGATCATAAGTTTCAAAGTTTGAAACTAGAGAATCATGTAAAATTAGTTCTTGAGCAGCCATTGTGATTATGAAACATGGCAGTACAAGGCATGTGAGCCGTTGGTAATAAAAACCTGATCTAAGACCATACACTTGGCATACGAGCTCAAGCTTACGTAACTAGCACACAGTTGAATAAAGAAAAGTAAAATATACTAAGTAAATCATTTACTAATGAGAAATTAGTAAGCAATTTACTTTTCAACATGTCAAAGGGGTCACGCCGGAAGAAGTTGCAAAGAGCTATATTATGGAACTCGTTTTCCGTAACATGCTACCGGAAATGTATTGAGATTACCACCTAGCATGTAAGATGCATAATCTTTTGCGGGAGATTGCTCTGTCTATAGCAAAAAAAGAAAAGTTTTGTGCTGTACATGATGGGAGTGAAACAGTAGAAGAAACTAGGGCACTTCGTTTGTCAATTCAAACAACTAATGGAGAAATTGGATATTGCACAGGTATATCACGGCTTCGTTCGTTTCTCGTCTTTGCCACTGGCCTATCCTCATTCTCTTTCTTAAATAAATTACCTTTTGACCTTAAATTGTTTTAGGTTCTAGATTTGGAGGATGTCCCACTTGATAATCTGCCAGACAATTTAACGTCATTATTCAATTTAAAATATTTAAATTTGAGTGGAACTCCAATTAAGGAGCTTCCAAAATCTATAGGACAGCTCCGCAACCTTCAGACGTTGAACATCAAGAGGACAAAAATAGAGGCATTTCCAAGAGGGATTTCCAAGTTGCCTATCCTCATTCTCTTTCTTAAATAAATTACCTTTTGACCTTAAATTGTTTTAGGTTCTAGATTTGGAGGATGTCCCACTTGATAATCTGCTAGACAATCTAACGTCATTATTCAATTTAAAATATTTAAATTTGAGTGGAACTCCAATTAAGGAGCTTCCAGAATCCATAGGACAGCTCCGCAACCTTCAGACGTTGAACATCAAGAGGACAAAAATAGAGGCATTTCCAAGAGGGATTTCCAAGTTGCTAAACTTACGCTATCTAGTTATGGACCGTATCAAAGATGGTTCAAAATTTATTGGGGTAAGAATGCCACTAAGTACTAGTAAGATGAAGAAATTGCAAACTTTGGGATACATTGAATCTGAAGGAAACATTATTAGACATATAGGAAATATGAGCCAGCTTACGGCCCTTGCAATTTCAAATCTGAAAGAAAGAGATGAGGAGGACCTATGTGCCTCTATTCAAGACACGAAGGCCCTTTCCCAATTGTGTTTATGGGTAGTAGATGGAGAGAAATTTCTTCGAGTTGACGCATTGCCTTCACCGCCTCCCTACCTTGATAGACTTGAATTGAGTGGCAAACTGGAAAAGGTACCACATTGGTTTTGTTCACTCCACTTTCTTACATATTTGAATCTTTGTGGATCCAGACTTGAAGAAGATTTACTACGTCATATTGAAGCATTGCGTTCTCTACGTTTGCTTTGCCTTGATAATTCCTCTGTTAGGAAAGAGTTGTTTTTCAGTAGAGGCTTTGTGAATCTTAGATATTTGGGGGGTTTTAATTTCTCATTCTTAAATAAGATCACTATAGAAAAAGGGGTGATGTCAAATCTCGAGTTCTTAGACATTGATGAGTGCTTGAGATTAGAGACATTGCCACAGGATCTTGAGCACCTTACTAAACTAGAAGGATACGCATTTCAGAGTGTTTCAAAGCAATTTACAGAGTCCATACAAGAAGGTGGTGTGGATCATCCAAGGATGCTACTTGTCCAAGAGAGATGTAAGAAGCCGATGTAAGTATCTTTTATGCTTCCATTGAGATTCATAAACTTGTGTTCACGAAATTGTTCTCATTCACATCTCTGTTAATGGCTGGCTGTAAAGCCATATTAAATCATCCCAAGTTAGAACCTTCGTGTCCTACTAATTGGTTTCCAGAGATTGTTGGAACGCTCGGGTCAAAAGTATTTCTCAGATGATTTGTGAGAGCAGGAACGGTTGATATTTATATGCATTAATTCAATACAGTTCTTCCCAGCATATAATCATATTAAAACCAAATTTCCTTACTCTCTATAGACGTGTGGTTAGCCTATATGCTTTACACACTGAACATAAAAGTACACATCGTCCAAATCTTAGAGACAAATCATCGACATACAGTTGCCAACTGCTGAAGTGAAAGATGCAAACTACATCAAAAAAAAAATTAAAATTTAAGTCGCAATTTATGAACAGAATCTTTGGATATATTATTCGATTTAAAAGAGGCGGACTAGAAGCCGAGATCAATCTTCACGTTTCACATGAGAGCAGGCTCTTCCTGGGACATACTAGGTAGAAACTTCAATCCTTAGACTGGTTGTTTCTGAAAAATATACAAAAGAGACAAAAGCAACAAGGTAATTATCAAACAAAACTTCAATTCATATGTATATATATGCATTGTGTGTCTCATGAATTTCAGTTGGAAGGATTTATATGGTTTTACATGCATTAACAGAGAGGGGGAGAATGAGAACAATATTTTCTTGTTAAGTACATTTCAAATGATTAAATTTATGAAATTAATTCGATGCAAGGATAGAAGACTTCGAACATAAATGTTGTACCTTTGGATGATCCACACCTCTTTCTTGTATGGACTCTATAAGTTGGTTTGAAACATTCTCAAATCCGTATCCTTCTAGTTTAGTAAGGTATTCAAAACCCTGAGGCAATGCCACCACCAAACAAGTGCATTATGCAAATCCACTTGTTTTTGTTTTTTTTATTTGTTTACTTTTTATCCCCAGTAAAATATTGTACTACTTAACAGTAAAAAGATATTTTTACCCCAAGCAAAAATAAAATAAAATGTACCATTTAAATAAAAAAAAGATTTTTCATTGCAATCGTCCTTAAATTTGTACCCCGAGTGTCCTTCAATTGTGTTACCCGTGACAATTTGGTCATTCCGTCAATTTTGTCGTCAAAATAGATAAGTCATTTTATGGGTTATTTGTAGGGGTGGGCATCAATCCGGCCGAACCAATGAAACCGGCCGAACCAAATCGTAATTACCGGTTTGGTTTTCAAACCGTTTGACTTTTTCTTAGTCAAAATCAAACTAAACCGGACCGTATATGGTTTGGTTTGGTTTGGTTTTGAGCTTTTGTAAACCGGCTTAAACCAAACCGGACCGTTTATGTGTATATTTATTTATTTTATTTTATTTTATATGTGTAATACTCTAATTAGTTAATAACTATATATGAATATTTGAATTGAGCTATATTAGTTAGTGAAATATGAAGTTTTATGACATTTTGAGCTTTAGGACGGTTTCGTACTCTAGAAGATGATTCATGTAATAAGTAAGTTGTGAATTTGTTGGTTATAATTGGGCTAATAATGTTGAAAAAATGCAAAAAGAAAGAGAATTGGGCTTAGGCCCAAACCGGCCGAACCAAACAGAACCAAACCGTCTTAAATTGGTTTGGATTGGTTCAGTTTCCCTTATAACTTTTATCCAAACCGAACCAAACCAAACCGTTATACTTTAATTGGTTCGGCCGTGGTTTTGACGTGAAACCGATCCAATCCGGACCGTGCCCACCCCTAGTTATTTGTACACTAATTGACAGTTCCACTCTTTAAATGAACGATCATATTCATGAAAGTACCGCTATAATACCAGTGGAGCCCATCCATACAAAGTGGTACACAATGTTATACATAAAGGTTGCATTTTCTCAATTAAAACCCCAGAGAATCTAACATTCAGACAAATATTCGAAGACTCGGGCTAGAAACTAACAGTTGGTTAAAAGTCAAATTCTCAGACCCAACAAGGAAGTTCTGAACAATCCGCACGCACGGTCACGTGCGCTGCCTTATCTAAAAACTGCAAGTCTACAATCAAAGGCAACCCCCCATCTGAGCGCAAAAATTTTGTGACTCAAAAAGCCGAGAAGTGTCCCCCAAATGTCCAAACGACGTCGTTTCCAGCCCAACCACAAAGGTAGTACAGTACAGACATGCATATTCCCGGTGTCTTCAACAAGAAAATGGCTGAAATTAGATGATCCCTATTCTCTAGGTCCACAGAGCCCAAGCCAGAGCCACCGAGAAGCAATTTTGGCTTCTTTTGTGGTTTTGAATTTTGGGTTTTCAAATTTTGGGGCTAGGTTTGTGGGGGAGACGCCAATTGAGAAGCCATTTTTGGCTTCTTTTGTGGTTTTGAATTTTGGGTTTTCAAATTTTGGGGCTAGGTTTGTGGGGGAGACGCCAATGGCGGAGCAGAGGAACAACAATAGGTGGAACTAGGAGGTCAGTGGCCTTGAACCGAGGAAGTTGTCTTCTTCGTCGTCGACGGCGTCGAGCTTCGACCATGACGATTACAAGCCTGGTGCGCCTTTAGTTCGGAGGTACTCGATCTCTGCTACCTCGGCTTTGTCTCAGTCTGAGCTCTCCAACCACTCTGTGACTTCTAAGCTCCAGAAACTCAAGGACCAAGTTAAGGTAATGCGTTGTTTGGTTTTGGTAATTAAGGTATGAGGCTGTGAGTTATGGAGTTTTGAGCTGAATCAGTGTTAAAGTCAGTGGTTTGTGGTTCAAGAGTGTGTGTTGTTGGAAATGCATTTTGAATCATTTGGCTTGGAGAATGTGAACGCTTTGTCAATAATGTGAGAGATTGTATTAGTGAGAATAAGTGGTTGCATCTGTTCTGGAGCTTTTTGAAGTTATTTTACTGTTTTTATGTGAAGATTATGTTGGGTTTAGGAGGTCCGCTACAACATTTCTTTTGGACAGCTTGCTAGAGAAGATAACTTGGAGTTGAGACAAGAAGCAAGTGAGTTGCACGAGTATTCTAATGCCAAACTTGAAAGAGTTACACGTTATCTTGGTGTTCTTGCCAATAAAACCCGAAAGCTAGGTAAGAGATTTGGTTAAGCTGTTTGATTGTGCGTTTGTCGGTTTAAAGGATTTCTGAAGTGGGTGGTATGGGACTTTTGTCTAAATTCAAGATGAGTGATATTGTTTGACAGGGTACAAGGTTTGATATTACATTGCAACAAAATAAAACTACTTTTTTCTTTTTCTTTTGTGATGTATTTGCACTTTGAGATTAGTTAGTCCAAGAAAACTTAATGCCCTTCACCCCAGCGTTACTTTTTGTAAGGTTTTTTTTTAATGTTCTTGGGTTATCTTAATGGATTTGAAAGTTTGTCTCCATAAAAATGCCAGATCAATTTGCCCTTGAAACTGAGGCTAGAATTTCTCCGCTGATCAATGAGAAGAGAAGGTTGTTCAATGACTTATTGACAGCCAAAGGTACTCATCTTCTATGAGTTTTCTCCTTTTGGGACTCTCTCTCTCTCTCTCTCACGCAGTCACTCACACCCATAAAAAAAGGCATGCCACACATAAGCACTTTTAAATTTAATTTTCAAGGTTGTTGAGGTATTTAATTGATCTTACAAAAGTTCAACGGGGTTGTATTTTCTAACTAGCCTTTAATTCCAGGACACATAAAGATATATTGTTGTGCAAGACCATTATTTGAGGATGAAGGTTCCTCAATTGTTGAATATCCTGATGACTACAACATCCTTGTAAGTACTGGTGATGATGCCTTGTCCAACCCCAAGAAGGATTTCGAACTTGACAGAGTTTATGGACCTCATGTTGGACAAGGTGAGAATAACTTTCTTATTTCATTGTTTTCACCTTCCTATTGTGGTTGTGCTAGGTGAAATATTAAACATATTCTCCTATTTTAAAGTTGTCTTTGGCTAAAACATCTTTGACTTTTTTTGTTTGTCAGCTGAACTTTTCTGTGATGTTCAACCTTTGGTGCAATCAGCATTGGATGGATATAATGTTTCTATATTTGCATATGGACAAACCAACTCAGGAAAGACACACACGATGGTTGCTCTCTTTTCCTCTTTTCCTCCCTCTGCATTTGTTTGTGTGTGTCTTTGCCGGAATGTGTATCTGATGCATATAAATTTGTACTTGTATGCTGACTTCTATTCCTCTAGCCAGTTCAAGGCGTTGTAACTTGATATTTTCTTTTACAAATTTGTTAAGTGAATTGATTACAAATTCTACGTTGATGTATTAGGGACTTTAAAAAAGAAATGAGAATTGATTCTTCACTATTAGATTTGAACCTTAAAGCGTGGTGGACTTTTCATTGTTTGTTACATTCCTTTTTGTAATGTGGATAATTCTTTCCACTGGTTTACCACAAAATAAACAATGGAATTCACTGTACTAGAGCATTAAATTGCCACAATGAGTGGTGTGCCTTTTACTGTTTTTGGTACAGTAAGAGATTTAGTGGTAGTTGTTTCATTTTATTTATTTATGAAAGTAGTTTCAAGTTGTGCACGAGATTCATGATATTTGGCCTTATCTAGCCATGATCGTGATTTTTATGCTCATTCTTTTGAGGAACTATTCGATTTGGCCAACTCTGATTCAACTTCTACGTCAAGATTTAAATTCTCCGTTACAGTTTTTGAGCTCTACAATGAACAGGTACTTATATTTTTTTTTATAGTAAATTGTCATAATTTCTGGTTTATGTTTGTCTGATGGCTTTTGAGTAAGGAATCCTCATAATGGTTTGATGCGGATCCCTTCCATGCTCTTGTAGATAAGGGATTTACTCCCAGAATCAGGAGATGTTCTACCAAAGATTTGCATTGGATCACCGGAGTCCTTTGTAGAACTTGTGCAGGAAAAAGTTGATAACTAGAAAAAGAAGTTCAGTATTTGCAGCAAGCTTTCTCTAGTTGACTTGGCTGGAAGTGAAGGTTTAATTGCTGAAGATGACAGCAGTGAGCGTGTGACAGACTTGCTGCATGTGATGAAATCACTTTCAGTGTATGTTTGGATGACTTATATCATTTTTCTGATATTGAAAAGTTTTGGTTTCTAGCCTTTCAGGTTGCCTATAATTTTAAGGATGGTTCACATTGGTCTTAAACTTTTGAACAATATACGGTTTTCATTTTGCATGATCTTGATACCGTGGAGTGGCATTTCAAATCTATTTTCTTAGCATATGATCACCAATGTTAAACTGATACAAATATGGGATACTAGAGACGATACGAATATCTCCAAAAACTAAGATACATATACAACGGTCAATTTTTGTAGTAGTGGCTACAAATAAACTCAAGAGGTCATATTTCCAATAAATCTAATAATGTTTCCTTCTGATTCAATATATGCCAAAGTTTGCAATTTCTTCATCTTACTAATACTTGATGGTATTCTTACATGGTATTCTTACAAACACAATTAACAAAGAAGAAAGTACAAACACGCTAATCACCGACGTACATCTGCCCATTGCTAAAGCAACATATGCAATTTTATGAACATCAACTTGGGTATTATCATGGATTAAAATAATCTTCACTCGGTATGGACTTATTTCTGCAAAATATATAAAAAGACAAGCGATATTGTAATTAACAAACAATTTATATGGCTTTACATCCAAAATCATTAAGTTTGGAAATATTCCAAATCATTAAGTTTAGGAAAGTCAATGAAAGGATAAAAGATACTTACGTATATTTC